TGACTGGGGCCCTGGGGACAGGGTAGGTTGTAGAACAAAGCTGAGGGTAACTCGCCCAAGGGCATGGGGGGAGCACTCCCTGCTGCTGCACGCACCCCTAGGGGTGGCATAGAGGGCATGTGCCTTCCAGATTTGTGTGCAGGGTGGAGGCAGGCTGCTCACTGTGAGATGGGGTTCTGCACCCTGCTGCCTTTGCCCCAGGAGCCACACAATGCCATGTTGTGCTTCACACCACTGGACAGGCAGGGGACACGCAGCCAGCACTCAGCTCCTTGGGCAAAGGCAGCAGAGTGCAGAGCCCCAGCCTGCAGTGGGCAGCCCGTGTCTGCCCTGTATACAAATCTGGGGATGCATATGCCTCCCCTGGGGGTGAGCACAACGGTGGGGAGCTGTGACCCCTATGCCCCTGGATGAGTCATCTGCGGCTCTCTCCCATGATATGCTCCAGCCCCACGGCCCTATTTGTTCCATCCCCTGCCTCTGCTCCTCTCCCTCCCTCACTGTAGGGGCCTCGATCTACCCCCACTACCCCTTCCCTTTCTGCCCGCCCCTTCCTCTCCACAGACTTACCTGCTGGGCACTGCTCTACACATCTCTGGGCTGCATTCCTGTAGGGTTACTATATTTCCCATTTCAAAAAGAGGACACCTATTGGGGGTGGTAATATGATTGTGGGGAGAACAGCAATGTGCACATGCCCTGCCCCTGCCTCTCACTCCCAAGCCACAGCCCTGCTGCTGCCCCTCATTCCTGATCCACAGCACCCTGCATCCTGCCAGGGTGTGCGAGGGTCACTCCTCCCTGGGCTTTAACCCCCTCCCCCCAAACACACACACACATCCCCCAACACCTTCACAAATTGCCCCAATACACAAACTCCACCCCCACTCCCTCAACCATACAAAGTACCTGCATTATTTTGAGTTTTTAGCTGTGACATTAAAATCGCAATTAATTGTGGCTACTTTTTTTTAATTGTGCAATTAATCATGATCAATTTTTAAAAATAATTTGACAGCCCTAAAATTTTTTTAATGGTTTAGGGTCAAGAGCCTGCCTTTGTAGAACCCCATTTGAGGATCACATGCTTGATGGTGATTCTTTATTTGTAATTGTATTTTGAGGCCTATCCATTAGCCATTTAATAGGAACATAAAATCTGGGCCCAGTAGTGAAGGTGTGGATGTACCATGGATTTATAAAGGGACATAATGATACTTTCTGTTTTGTTTACAATCCCCTTCTTAATAATTCCTAACGTTTTGTTCACCTTTTTGTTGACTGCTGAGCACTGAACTGATGTTTTCAGTGAACTCTCCACAATGACTCAGATCTTTCCTGTGTGGTAACAGTTAGTGTGGAGCCCATCCTAATGTAGGGGTTGGTTGTGTTATTTTTGCCCATGTGAATTTCACTTGCCATTTAATTGTCCATTTGCTCAGTAGTGCAAGATTCTTTTGTAGTTTTTCACAGTCCTCCTTGGACTTTACTGTCTTGAATAATTTTGTCTTCCATGAATTTGTGTATTAAATTCTTCCCTGTAATCTCATGACTACCTAACTTTATTAAGACCCTTTGATGGGGACCTTGTCAAATGCTTTTTGGAAGTCCAGATATGTTATTTTAACTGAATTCCCTTGATCTGTCTGCTTACTGACATCCTCAAAGAACTCTAGTAGTTTGGTGAAGCATGATTTTCAGTATGTGTGCTATATTGAATTTATGTCCTTTAAATTTCTTATTTAGAATGGCATATGGTAGTAGGTTATTGAACCCTAAATATATTGAATCAACACAGTTATTTTTATCATCCAAATTTCTATGCATATCATCCACAAAGATATCAAATTAAAAAAAGATCTATTTTCTATAAACCATTTCAATAAGCATTAATTCTCTTTTATTTTCTTCATTTCCTTATTGTTCTAGCTTTTCTATTAGGTGTCCCATTCTTTTGCTTAGTATTAGTCAGGCTGATAGCCCATACAGTATATGGTTTCTCCTCTTTAAATACTAGTACAACATGAACATTCTCCCAGTTATTTGTAACTTTCCAGTCAGTTTCAAGGCTTATTGAAAATCAGCTTTAATGGTCCAGAGAATTTCTTTCCTGGCTCTTTCAAAACTCTGGAGTTCAAGTGACCTGCTGACTTAGAAATGTCAAACTTCAGTAGTTGCAGATTAACACTGTCCAGAGTTACATACGGAACGAAAAACATTAATGTTATCATCACTGTGATATGTACTCATCTGGCTTTTTTGTAGCTACCTAACAGAATGATTGATTGTGTACTTTTGTGTTTTCTACATTGTTGTTATTAACGGATCTCTCTTTCTGTTCAGTAGTGGATCAGTAATATCATAAGTATTCCTGCTGGCCATAGACATCTCAGTGCCTCTTTTTCTTCTCTTATCCATTTCCTTATAATTTCTTAGCTCACCATTTTTATATCCATTACTGTCCTTTCCCTCTTTTCCATTTGTTTTAAGTGATTTCATTTCACCTCTAAGATGATTATTCTTTCAACAATTCTTAATTGTGGGAATATGGGTTTTTGAGCATTTTGTAATGTGGTCTTGTACAATTTCAAATTATTCTTCACATTTTTCTAATTGGAATGTTTCTTTCAGCAGATATGGCTCATACTTGTTTTCAGCTTGGCCAATTCATTATTTAAAACATATTAGATGCATGTATGTTTTACCAATTTGGATGTTATTGAACACGGGTTGGTGCCCGATAACTTTTTGCAGTAGCTGCTGTTAATTGATCTTCTTCATCCACTCTACTTCAGCATGTGTACCTGTTCACCACAGAGTTCTAGTTTGTGTTAGAAGAGGTTTAGGATAACATTTACAAAAAACCAAACTTGAGAATGTGAGGGATACATTAAGATAAACGCAGCACAAACGTCCACATAGATTAGATGTCTTTTAAATTATGTTGATTGGTTTAAAACAATGGCGCTCAACCTTTTTGTTCACAGGGCTGGATGGGTGGTGCCCAGTCCCTCTGTAGCCTGGATCTGGTTGGTGAACACAATCTGGAACCTGGGACTTGTACTGTGGGACCCCATCTAGCCACGTGGAGGGAGCAGGGGATAGCCTGGCACCAATCCAGACCCACTGCAGGGAGGGGGCATGGCCCAGACCCAGCCTCTCTTGGTGGGGGGAGGGCATAATCCATCCCCGTGGGGGAGAACGTGTGGCCTGGCCCTGCAGGAGGAAGGAGGGATATCCGGCCACAACCTGGCAGGAGAGAGGGATGGGGGCATGGCTGGATTGGAGCATGACCCAGCTCTGAACCAGCTGTGCAGGAAGAGGGACATGGCCTGGCCCCATGGGGAGCAGGGGGCACAGCTCAGCCCCAACCTGGTTATGCAGAGGGAAGGGGATGTGGCCATGCTGGGGGAGGGTTGTGACCCAGTTCTGGCCTGCTACTCAGGGCTTGGGATTTTGGTGGCAAGGAGAGTGGCTGTATTAACTGCCATGATAGCCACCACTGCTTCCCTACCGCCAAATTTCCTTACCTGTGGGGAGCCCTGCAGACTGGATCCCAAGACTCTGCAGGCCATGTTTGGTCCATGGGCTGGAGGTTAAGCACCCTCGGTTTAAAACCATACTAGAACTTATTGGCAATGCTGTAACCTGGCTGGAGACTAAGAAGAAAGTAATTCAGTTTAACTATATGATGCACTATGTAACACTCAGCAATTTAATTACTGTATGATTGTGATTTGGATTTAGAGATTCAGTGAGATTGCCCAAATGATAAAAATGTGAGGCGAGGAAGAAACCATTGTGTTTGTGTGTATTTGCCTCTTGTAAAATAAGCAGCATGTATACATGTGCGCCAGGGTGGAGGGAGGGTGCTTTAATTAAGAATGGTTCATACCACAGTGTCACATCTATTCAGTGTCCTGTGCTTCAAAATGGCGGTGGGGGTACCTTATCTAAAGCTCTTTTGACAAGCTTTATTTAAAGCTGTACCTTAACTAAAGCTCTTTTGACAAGCTTTATTTAAAGCGCCCCTGCCACCATGGGGATGCTGAACACATGTGAATTAGAGGCTTCTGGAGCATGCTAATTAGCATGCTCCAGTAGACTCGATTAATAGAGTCTGCTCCATGTGCTAATTAGCACGCATTGGAGCAGAGTGCCATCATGTGTATAGGTGTCCAAGGTAGCTAATAAATGGTGGAAAAAATGCACTAATTTAGGTGCAAAGCAGGACTGTGAGCTTGGCTAAACCTTAAAAAAAAAAAAAAAGTTGAGCAAAAATTGTATACGTGTTTTGTTACCTTGTTATTTCAAACATAGATTCCTTTAGCATGATGCTGGCAAAACTTGACAGAACAACTATGAATACCTTTCTTCAGCCTTGTCTGGTCTTCCAGAGACAGGCATATCCCCATCCTTACTGATCTGGGCCATAAGACCTTGAGGTCAGTACTGGAGCTGACCCATTTTGATTATATTCTGTCTATAATATGGCTTTCAAACCAAATATGACAGGTAGTCATGGCAGAAGGAAAGTGTCCTACTAGTTGGAGCTGAAGGTTTAGAATGCCTCTAGATATAGCTTTGAAAGCTAGTAGGATTAGTCCCTTACATTTTTTAAGGAGATTAACGTGTTCTGCATGAAGGCAGGGGGGATACTTTTACAATGAAACTTTAATAACTGAAGTCATCCCTGAGACATAAGAACAGAATAGTGTTCATTGTTCAAAATTTGGTCCTCCTCCTATGTGCTACTTGGCTGCTGCATTTCAGTGACTGCTGTACATCTATAGTTAGTAAGGCATCTTAAAAGTGTAATTAGTAAGGCATTTTGGAATGTGAAATTACTAAGGAGAAATAAAAAACTTCTTGACTGCACTAGTTTTTAGAGTTACTTTCTGTTCATGACTGCAAGCATAGTCTTAAATATGTACCAAGACATTTAAAAAATATTCTAGTTTCTACCAAAAAACTTTTCTTTTTGTTTTCTTTTTTTTTAGTGGAAGACGAAATATTCCAAACTCATTCTTAGGACATCTGATACGGTACCCAAAGAACTGCATCAAGTTGTGCAAGATGCTTTTTTGACCTTGCAAAAACATGGTTGTCTCTTTCAAGATCTTATTAGGATCAAAGGAAAAGATTGTCTTACCCCAGTATCTCGTATATTAATTGGAAACCCAGGATGCACTTACAAATACTTGAACACAAGACTATTTACTGTTCCTTGGCCTGTGGAAGGTTCCAAAATAAAATATTGCAATCCTGAAATGTTTGATGCATGCAAGGCCTTAATGAAACTTAATGACTACCTGTATAATGAAACAGTCCAGGCTTTAAAAGAGCAAAGTTTGTCTGAGACCAAAGAAACTAAAGATGCTGCTGTTACAAATAAGGAACAGGATTTTTCTACCTGTGTTGAAGGGGAGAGGACCATTTTGGAAGATCAAAGCAGCTCGTATGTACCAAGGACTGATTGCATAAACCTAAAGAGCAAAACACCTTATAACTTGACTTTATTAAATTATATGGATCCACTACAAATGCTGTACTTAAAACAAGAGCCTTATTTTGGAATGGGGAACATGGCTGTGAGTTGGCACCATGATGAGAATCTGGTTGAAAGGTCAACAGTAGCTGTGTACAGTTACAGCTGTAAAGGTAAGTAGTCAGGTGGTAGGGCATATTTGAGTAGTTTTTCAAAGCCCTGAAGCAGTTTTTATGGTTGGGTGCACAAAAATGCCTAAATACCTGCAAACCTATCTACTACTTGTTTCCAAATAGATTATGGTAATTAACATTATCTCTTTTTGTGTAGGCACTACTGTCCCTTGTCCATGAGGTAAAACTCTATTTACTGTACCTGGTAATACTGAAGTACTTTAAGTGGATTGAAAGGTTGCTAAATTAACTTGTGGATAAAGAGCAAAGAAAACAAAATCTGTCACATCTCTATTCCAGGTTTTCATCATTGAATATTTTCAGTCCTATAAAGTGTTTTATTGTAGTTCACATCATTGTCTTCATTGGAGTGCTTTGTCAAATATGGATTTGGTCCTGCTGTATGCTAATTTTACTGTCCTTTCTTTGCAAAGAACATATCGACTTGGCTGTGTGTAGCAGGGGGCCAAGCCTGAACCCTGCTTTGCTCACTCCTCTGGGTGAGCCCAAGCAGAGAACCTGGTCGTCGAGGTTCTGGTACTCGCAGACAAATGCTAGGCAGGCAGCACTTGAGTTAAAAATCACACGCTGCAAACTGGTGCAGCGGAGGCTGACTCCCATGAAGCCAAGGGAGCTCTGGGCCTCTTCAAAAAGGAAAGCAGACCGAGATGGGGTGGCCCATTAACCGCTCTGAAAAGGGGAAAGCAAGGGGACTTACCTTGAGTTCCTCGTGGAAGCATGGAGAAGCCACTGAGAAGGGAAGAGAAGAGTTCCAGTCACCAGAAAATGTGGAAGCCAGATCCCGTGACCATCGCTGAACAGGATCACTCTGTCCCGGTAGGGCAATCGTCTCCTCAGTTTAGGGAATGAGAGGAATTCTGACCTTCTCCCCAGGTGAGTGTGTTGAGCCTGGAGGGAGAATAACAGAAAACGGAGGTGGGGTAAATTGTTAAAAGGGTTAATGTCAAGTCTGAATTATGAGACTGATCACTGAGGCCAATTGAAGCTGGATAAGGGATGAAATCGATTGATCAGAGCATGGACTGCATTATATGTAGCTCTGAAAGTGATTAAGTCTGATTAAGAAATAGGAACAGATTGCTCTGGGCATAGGCTGTCCTATAAGAGGCCCTGAAATCCATTGGAGTCCGGGGAATGGAGAAAGCTAATAAGAGTGTGCACTGTAATTATGTGAGAAGTTGAAGTTGTTCAAAGGCGAATTGAGAAGAAAGATTGACCAATTAGATCATGAACCATCTAACTTCTGACTTAAAGTTAATGGCAGCCTGCTTATGGAGGGAGGTGAAGTAATCTGAGTGAGGCTGCATCAGTTGAGACCCAGTCCCCAGTTGCAGACTGAGCAGGAAGAAATTTGACTGGCAAGGAAGACCTGTTTAAGTGGATAAGGGCCCAAATTACTCTGGAGGAGGAGACTGGGGCTACAGTCCTGTGATAGACTGAGGTTGATAATGGGCCCAGCTGGTGATTAATATTAGTTAATTGAATATAGGAACTTTTCAATTGGTCTCAAGTTGGGGTTGAATTCTGGTAAGGTCTCGGGGACCAAACCCCCAATAAAGAGCAGGCATGAGGAAAACCCTTTTGGAGTTGACCTGTAGCTCAGAAGAACACTGTTTTGGGAGAGTGGCGGACCAGGGTGTAGGGGAGAGGGAGCCCTCGGATACACCCCTTGAAAACTCACACCATGGCAACCCACTAACTGGATATTTGCTCTCCCTGTTTGTACCAATATCATAGCAATGAACAGTGGAGGGGAGAGAGCAAGCAACCATTGCCACACTGTGTATAAAGGTTTTTCTCTGTTTACAGAGAACTACATAAATTATTGCCTGGGCATGCTATGTCCATAATACTATATCGTGTAAGGAAGCTGACAGTCCTGTTATAGTTAAAAAAGGGAAGAAGGTATATCTCTTAGTATTCACATTATAACAAAAGTGTCTGTGTCAATTTATACAGGTTCTTAGTTCTTTTAAATATATTCAGACTAACTCGTTTAGAGAGGATTGAGCTTTTGGGTGCATCCAGACAAGTGCGCATGTGCCTCTTGCAGCATCTCAAAGCCTTTTGAGACTCTGCAAGAGGCACATGCGGGAACAAAAAACATTGCCTGTGTTGCAAATTTGCAGTCTGGCGGCAAAATTAGACCTCCTGGATATCCAGGGGTCAAAATATACCTCGGGCAAAAAAAGCAGGCAACAGGAGGCTTGGGTCCTCCACAGAGACTCTGGTAGCCAGCCAGAGTGTCTCTATAGCTGGCCCTCCCCCAGTGCTGAAGTACGCTGCCTGCCCGTGCAGGAAACTGGACCCAGGCTCCAAGCCACCAAGTAGGTGGGGGCTGGGGCTGGACGAGGGGGGAGGAGGCCATGGGGTGACCCCTCCCAGCCCCATCTCCTGCCACTACCTGGGTCCCCCGGATTGCTGACCCACCCGGCCCCATTCCCTGCCTGTTCCCGAGGTCCCCCAGTCGCTGCCCCACCCGCTCCATTCTCCTGGCACTTAAAAGCCTCGCACTCACCAGTAGTAGCAGCAGCTGTTGGGCTTCTGGGGCCAGGCGGGGAGGGGGGCGGTGATCAGGGGCAGGGCTGGGCAGGGGACCACAACTGGAGAGAAAGGGCTGGTCTGGGGAGGTATGCCAGGAGGCCCCGTCAGCCATTACTACAGCCAGTGAATGTGGGGCTTTCCCTTTTTTTTTCCTTTTTTCAGTGCTGGGACGCTGGGGCCGGGCAGGGCAGCCAGAGGGGCTGGGGGAGTGGTAGCCACTGTTGGAGGCCACAGGCCACAGTTGGGGAGGCAGTCCGTGAGCTGTGTGGGATGACTGTGCCCTGTGGGAGGCAGAGGACCCACTGCTTCTGAGCAGCCTCACTCAGGCCCCCCCAAGATCCACCTACACCTACCCACACACCCCATGACCCCTCCCCAGCCACCCACTTTTGTTTTAATTGTGGAAGAACATGGATTTTAGGGTATTTTACAGGGTGACTTAGTGCAGCTGAGGGGGACACTGAGGAAAGCCCCCTAGGCCATACCAACTGGTCCTCAAAGGCATCCAAGGAGTTGGTGGATGCTGCCCACTGGTGCTCTGCACAGACAAGTGAGAGGAAAGCAGAACCACGGTCTCTGGCATCTTTCCGGCCAGAGCTTCCTTCCTGATCAAGTACAGGGCCCACTTGCCCAACGCGAGGAGAAGGTTGACCAGGAGGTCCTGAGACTTGTTGGGGCCATGGATGGGGTGACCAAAAACAAAAAGGTGGGGGGGGGGGGAAATTCAACCAGAAGCTCAAGAGCTTACATGCCTGTGGTGATGGCTCCATGGAGGAGCCTCCAGCTGAGGTCCAGCTGAGCAGTGGCTTGTGGGATGAGGGTGGACTACAGACTGAGCCATTAGGGTGCCCCAGCCACACCCTCACTGAGGAGGTCCCACCACTTAGATTTCATAGACATTTGGGCTGGAAGGGACCCCAGAGGATCATTTAGTCCAGCCCCTACCCCAGGGGCAGGAAGTCAGCAGGGATCATAGGATCCCAGCAAGATAAGCATCTAAATGTGTCTTGAAGGCATTCAAAGTGGGTGCTTGAACCACCTCCGGCGGCAGTCTATTCTAAACCTTGGGAGCTTGGACAGTGAAGAAGTTCCTTCTTATGTCCAGCCTGAATCGGTCGCAGTGGAGTTTGTGACCATTCGATCTTGTCATCCTTTGGGGTGCTCTGGTGAACAGAAGTTCCCCCAGATCCTGATGAGCACCCCTGATAAACTTAGAGGTGGCCACCAGATCACCCCTGAGCCTGCGCTTTTCCAGGCTGAAGAGCCCCATGGCTCTCAGCATCTCATCATAAGGTCTGTTTTCCTGACCTCTGATCATGTGCGTGGCTCTCCTCTGCACCCTGTCAAGCTTCTCCACATCCTTTTTGAATTGTGGAGCCCAAAACTGGACATAGCTGCAGCCTCACTAAGGCTGAGTACAAAGGGAGAATGACGTCCCGGGGTGGCTTGAGAAGCATCTATGGATGCAAGCCAGTGGTTTGCTTGCTGTACTAGCGCCGCAGCATCACACTGAAGGCTCATGTTTGTCTTGTGGTCAACCATGACCCCCAACTCCCTTTCATCTGTAGTGCTAACCAGCATAGCACTACCTAGCCTATAAACATGCCTCAGGTTTTTCCTCCCAAGGTGGAGAACCTTACATTTTTCAGTGTTCAACACCATAAGGTTCTCATCTGCCCGTTTCATGAGCCTGTCAAGATCCACCTGGATCACCCTCCTGTCCTCAGGTGTGGACGCTTTACCCCAGAGTTTGGTGTTGTCGGCAAATGTGTCCAGTCTGCTTCTGACATCAATGTCCACATCATTGATGAAGATGTTAAATAGTATAGGCTCTAGGACAGAGCCTTGAGGGACCCCCCTGGTCACAGCGCACCAAGACGATTGGCTCCTGTTGACAACCACCCTCTGGGTCCCACCGTGGAGCCAATTCCCCAGCCACTGGATTGTGGTGTGGTCGAGGCCGCAGTTAGCCAGTTTAGCCAAGAAGTGATTGTGAGATACTAGATTGAAGGCTATTTTAAAGTCAAGATATACAATGTGGATCTCTTCCCCCTTGTCCAGGTGATAAGTCACCTGGTCATAAAAGGAAATGAGATTGGTCAAGCAAGACCTACCCGCAGCAAACCCATGCTAGGTATCCGTCAGCATATTGCTTTCAGCTAGTCTGTTAAGGATGGCCTCTTTAATCTTTTCCAAGACCTTCCCCAGGATAAAGGTCAGGCCGATGGGACTGTAGTTTGCCGGATCTACTTTCCTCCCTTTCTTGAAGATAATCATGACATTGGCCCTCTTCCAATCATCGGGCACTTCACCAGAGTGCCAAGAGCTGTCAAAGATCCGTGCCAGGGGCTGAGCTATGATGCTCGCCAGCTCCCATAGTACCCTTGGGTATAACTCATCAGGGCCAGCTGACTTGAAGGTATCCAGCCTGTCAA